GATATCACCACTTTCTGTCATAAATTTTGCCAAGATAAATGAGCTTTTTACATGACGTGATGATATCGAAGAGCCGAATATTTCAGAACCAATTCGGCACCTTCCAAATTGATTCATTTTAACTTGAACTATTATCGAATCTTCTGCACCATCTCCAAATGGTTTACGAAATTCCATCGTTTCGTAGCTCACCATGTAGTATTCAACTATTAAGTCAAGCATATCACTTGACATTACAATATCGTTAAATACTGGTCTGAGCATTTAGCCAAGAAATGCTTCTTTTCCTGTAGTGGTCGATTCATGAATGTTTCTTAAAGTCAACCAAAATCGCCTCATTTCATCAGCAGAAAATTGGTCGGCTTCTGATAGAGAGCCAACAGATGGTCTATTACTAATCAAATCTAGGCCCTTTGATTCCACGCCGGAATTAATGATATTACTGATTTGATTATCAAACATCAGGAGGCACATAATTTCAGGTTCAATTTTCCTACTGCTATTCGGAAAAGAGCCTAAATTTATTTTAAACAAAAGTTGATAAAAATGCATTATTTTAGAAAGTAACAAGAATATTTAAAATATTATACCTAGCATGCCATTCATGCGCTCAAAGGAAAAACACCAGAATGTATATAAAGGTCCATAGTCGAGTGAGCATTCACATAAGTGAAGTGATAAATGTAAATTCGGTGTGATTTTATCACGACCGTAATTTTCTTCTATCAACTTCACTAGGTTAATTAGCTTCTGATGCGCCTCTCTTATGAAATCGACTTCTACAATTCGACTTACTGAAATTGAACAAATTCTCACAAAATTCACGAGAATCTTCTGGTCATTCTCAGAAAGATGTTCCCAGAGAGAGACTGTTGCATATATTGTAAAAAATATTCGCCATTGATCTGCAGTAAAATTTGAAAACCCATCTCCACAATCGACTTTTCCCGGGATTCGACCCAAGTCAGCTGGAACTTTAAATTCATCAATTTTTTTCTGAACTGTTTTCAAAATATGTGTTGTTAATACGCCATTTTCGATCCAAAGTCTTCTTACAATCCATTTTGCGATGCCCAGAAACAAGCAGTGAATCGGATAGATTGTAATGAACAGAATTGGATCGAAATATGGTAGACGCAATAATTTGGACCATCTAACTCCAGTTTGCTTTACAAATCGCTTTCTTGCTGCGTCCGAATTACAGCGTCTCCATCCTATAGCATCTTGACGATGTTGAGCCGAATCAAGGCAAGTAAACCATTCGTCCATTTCATTTATCCCAGCGAAATTATGCTGCCGATTTTTATAATTCACCTTCTTTTCGCATCTATGACACGACACCAAAGCGGAAATATGTCCGCAAATTTTTCTTGCAGCCGGTATGTCACATGAAACAAGAATCAGAGCTGCGCGAATTCTTTTCCCTTCTTGACATTCATACGTTTTATTTAATGTCACTCCTTCCCAAAGTGACTTCAACTCATCAATGATTGGCACCAGATAGTGGTTAATCTTATGTAAACTTACTTCATCTGGGCCGGGTAATAAGCCAAGAATCAAGATATTATTGCGCTTGAATCTGACATCCCTCGGAAGGTTACAGATTGCAGCGTATATTACTCCAGTGCTGTGGATTTTGCCGTCGAAAGGTTGAAACCAATCCAAATTCAAAATCAATCCGAGGTGCGAATCAGCAACATCAGATCGGAAAAAATTATTTGAACTTTCATCTGTCGTTTCTTTAAAAGTTTTCCAAACTTCACCATCGTATATATCAGTTAGGATATTATCGAAAGTTGGACGATTTATCCAATGCCTTAGAGAATTTTCAAAGTTAGGTTGACGATACATTGCTTCCAATTGCTGCTTAATACTCACAAACGGAAATAATAATTCAGGTTTGATTGAAATTTGGTTATTTAACAATGTTGTTTTCTGTGCCAAAGGTGTTTGGCACAACCTTAATCTTCAAGTTATCAAATTAGAAAATTCAACATGGAAACACTTCATGATGGCAGGTTGCTCATTTTGGAGAAAACTTTTTATTTCCTGTTTGTTGTATAATTTGTGGCATTTGGAACACGTTACAAAACTATGAAACCGGTCTTCAAGATTAAGGGCTTTTCTTGCTAGATATAAAGTGTCAGGAAATGTGTCAAAATCAGGACTACCGATTTCTGTTAGAACAAGCTTCAAGAATTTTATCAATGATTCTGTAGCTGTTTCTGGTAAGTTAAACCTGGTTCGGAAGCTCATGATCCATAATAATATCCATAAGAACCGATTATTTATTGATTGTTCAGTATCAGAATCTTGAAATGGTTCGAAAGGTGGACATGAATAATCTTCAAAAATTTCGTGGTATTCGTC